TGGACATTTCTCTCTCACATCAGTGTGTATCTCCCCCCTGCCCCCTTTTCTTCCTCTCTCCATCTCTTCCTCTCTCTCTCTGAGATCAATAAATCCTCAGGTGAAGTACAAAAAAAAACAAAGGAGACAGGGCCCTGAGGCCAACGCTTTCTGGGTTTAGTGTGTTTTCTGCAGGTGGATCTTTGGCTCCTTTCAGCCTGTTAGCCTTTGGTGGGTGCCAAGGGTTGCCCCCCCGGACACGTTTGTGCTGGAACCAGGGCGGTCCGGCGGCCATCGCCCCTGCGAGGGGCCGGCAATTGTCGTTCGTTAGTGTCTCCACACGTCTGGCTGCAGGTGTTCCGTTTTCGACGGGCTTGTCTTTCACGGGAGATGCTCCCAGGTTGTTTCACAGCATGGTCCCCTCCTGCAAGAGTCCCCTTTCCTTTCTGCCGCAGCTGCGTCCAAGGGGGGCGAGGAAGGTGCCGCGGGGAAGCAGGCTCGGAGCTGATGCGCCTGCGGTGACTGGCTCCCAGGAGGCTTGGCTTCCTCACGCACCCGTCTTACTGTCTGGAAAGTGAGGCAGGCTCCGGATGGTCGTCGCTGGCACAGGGCGGGCCTGACTGGCGGGCTTTGAAATACGATATTGGACTTAACAGTTGTTCCTCCTCTTTTCGCTGGGATCTCCGGTCACTGGGATTTGGCACATCACTCAGGGTCAAGGTGCGCACCGTCCGTCCGCGGGCTCTTTGCTTTGCCTTCCAACTGCCTCATTGGTCCTCCCCGGCCTCGACTCCTCGCTTATGTTCCTTTTCTCTGCCCTGCGTTGGTCTGAGACCTTGTGTCTGTCCAGTGCAAAGGCGGTCGGTCCCTGGCAGGATCCACTTCCTTCCCGTTCTGTTCTGAGGCCGGAGAAATTCACTGTGTGTGCGCCTGCGAAACTCCCCGCTAGATGTCTCTGCTTGCATGATACGGCGGCTCCCCTACTTCCAGGCCTGCCTTCTCCAGGCCCCCGCCGCCTACAGAATATGATCGAGATTCTGACTCAAGGTCAAGTTCCTGCCGGTCCGCCTTCTGCCCTTATTCTCAGACCCGGCCAGGTGAGAGGTTTGCGCCCCGCCCGCCTGACCATCCTCAGGCAGCCCAGGCGTCCCGCGTCTGATCCCCACTCTGGGATGTCTTCCCCGACCTGTGCTGGTCTTTCACGGGCCCTCGCTCCCCATGAAGGCTGTTCGTCCCCCGCGTCCGTCCCAGCCCGAGACAGGGCACAGTTCCTGTACGATGAGCTTCGTCCCCTGCTAGAATAAAGGTGCTTTGTTCCCTTTCTAGGTCTATCATTCTTTTTTTAAACTTCATTTTTATCTTATTTTAAATTTTTAAAATGTTTATTGATTTTTAGAGAAAGAGGAAGGGAAAGAGACAGAGACGCATCTGTGTGAGAAAGAAACATTGATCAGTTGCCTCCTATCCACACCTGGACCTGGGGTGAAACCCACAGCGCAGATATGTGCCCTGAGCAGGAATCGAACCCCCAACCTTCTTGTGTCTGGGACGACACTCCAACCCACGGAGCGCCACCAGCCGGGGCTCTGTGTCTTCATTCCTGATTAACATGTATTCAATGAAATATGAAAACTGGGTTCCAAAAACCCTTTCATCAACTCTGTTTTGTTTTTGTTTTTTTCTTTTTTTCTTTTTCCTTCTCCTGGGCGGTTTCCAGAGAAAACATTTCCATATGAACAATAAGGTCTTCTGTACGTTGTGGGCCGTTTAACTCTGTCTGGGACCGAAAGAGCAGGTTTTCCATCCCGAATGCGGTGAATAACTGCAACCGGCCTCTGTGGGCTGGTGTGGCCACGAGGGGCCCTGGGCCCACGCGGGCACAGCGCAGCCCCCAGGCCGACCGCGTGGACCTGCGATGATTGTGTGGCCCTGTACGCCCACCTTTTTGAAGAGGACGTTTTCGGAGTCAGCAAGGGAGCCTGAGAATAGTTCCTGACCGCTGCTGCCTGGAGCAGTTCCAAGGCCAAGTGCAGGCTTCGCTTTGCAGTGTCCAGGCGACGGCCACATTGGCACCGCTGTCCGCGGCCGTGCGCGATGCAGAGTCCCTGCTGGCAGAGCCCTCACCCCGGGAAGCACACGCCAAGTTTGGGTTCGTTTTTCACCAAGTTCAAGTGTGATCGGTGCTACCTAAGGCGAGACATGGGATGAAGCAAACAGGGTAGAAGGGAGGTTTCCAAAGCTCCTTTTTCTTTTACCGACGACTTTTCCCCAGGAGCACAGGAAAAATCAAAGACGTACTTTTCTCTTGGTGAGGAAGCCGAAAGGGGAGGAACACAAGCCAGCGACTTCCTGTCCCAAACCCAGGCCCGTTTTCTTGGGAAGGGCGCCAGGTGGGGGAAGGGTAGAGGGGCGCTGGGGAGCATGGTCCCTGTTCACAGAAGGGCAGCTGTCCCTACATGCCCCTGTCCCTCATGCATTCTGCTGCCTCTCCAGAAGCTGCATGCTGTCAAGGCCCATGCAGGGCCACAAGCTCCCTGACAGTGTCCTTGACCGGCCACCCCCGAAGGAGGGCGCGCGTGGGTCCCGGTCATCTAGTGCTCGCTGCTCATGGCCCGTCCCTGTCTGTGACCCCGATGCTCCTGGGAGCTGGCATGGCCCCCCCTGCACCTGCTGGACCGGAGGCTGCGTTTTCACGGACGCCTCGGGGGACTGGTCTGCACGGTGTAGCTTGAGAAGTGCTGGTCCACGGGCCTTTACATGTCTTCCAGGTGCAAGCTGTGTCCTTCAAGACCCAGCCTCTCTCCACCTGCTGGACTTTTGGCCGGTCCCCCACCCACCCACCCAACCAGACCTCTAAATGTGGGGGTCCCCAGGGTCTGTCCTTGGTGCTCATCTGTCTGGCTCTGTCCTCTGTCCTGGCGGCCTCCTGCGCTCTCCCCAGCTCCCCCGTGTTTCCCTACTTCCTGCCAGGGGTCACTCACTGTGTAGGCAACCCTTCCCTGGGCAGCTGCTCACAGAGCTCTCCCCGTGGACGGCCCCCTGGCCTCTCCCACCGGGCATGGTAAACCGGGACCCCTCTGTCCCATGGAGCCGACGCCTTGGCTCTGCGGGGCTCAGGGGTCATCTCGGGTGAGGGGAAATTCATTCCCAATCTACCTATTATTACTACGTTGGGATGCGCTTGCCCAGACTTCTGAAAGCCGCTGTTCGCCGAACCAGCTGGCTTCCTGCGTGCGTGAGCTGTCGGTTTCATCGATGGTGTTGGTATGCAGTGCATGGTGGCGTTAGTACCCAAGAGGTCTGCTGTCCTCGGACCTAGGCGGGGATTTGGGGGAAATGTGAGGTTTCGGAAGCAAGGCGGCGTCGGTGGCTTAGTTTCCAGCTCACGAACTCTCAGAGGGAAACCGATGGTTTCAGCGGCCTGTGCAGGCTTGAACGAGCTGTGTGGTCAGCCATGGTGTCCAGTCGGGGGTGGGGGGGCACCGTGAACTTGGCACACTGGACGCTGCTGTGCTCATGACCGTTCATTTTGTTCACAAGTTTTCCTAGCAGTTTGTAAAGATAATGGCTTTTGGGTACAAAACAGGGGTTGGCAAAGTTTTTTTTGGAACCAGCCAAGTAGTAAATATTTTTGGCTTTCTGGGCCAAACTTCTCATTTCTGCCCTGTAGCAGTATGTAAACAGATGGATGTTGTTGTATTCTGATAAAATTTTATTTACTGCCTTGCCTCCACCCCGAAAAACAAGAGGGCAGCTGGCTGGATTAGGTGCGTGGGCTGTCGCTTGCCAAGTACAAGCACAGAAAACAGGCCGGGTCTATTGATACTGAATTGGATTACTATGATATAGGAAAAACGAGGTGGCGGATTTAAAGGTCAAGATTTCTCAGAATGGGTAACAGTCCAGCCTCCAGGAAATCCATCAGTACATATCCATGCATGCGTGTTTTGCACTGAGTAGGAAATATCTTAATACACACAGCCTGGCCTAATGGTCTCGTAAGGACTGTGGTTGAAGAAACCAGGTAATAATAGGAAGGTGCAGAGATGGGGGAAATTGGCACCTGCATGTGCTGGTACGGAGTGGAAGGTGAGGGAGGGGCTTTCGAAGGCAGCCTGGCACGTCCCCAAAGTGCCTGTGTGACCCAGCCATTCCACTGCTAGACCTATACCCGAGGGAAACGCAGGCCCGTACCCAGAAACTTGTACGCCAGTGTTCATAGCTGCAGGTAGCCAGACTCTACAGACAACTCAGATTCCACCGCCTGGCAAACGGGTGAAGAAAACGTCGTATTCTGTATCAAGGAGTATTAAACAAGGGAATATGGTTCCACCAGAGAAGGGAATGAAGCGGGCACACGCTCCATAGGGGTGAACCTTGAAAGCACAAAGGTTGTGCAGGAAAGAAGCCCCATACAAAATGCAACATTGTATCATTTGTTTTATGGGCGAGGCCCAGGGCCGACAAAGCCACAGACACTGAGAGTAGACAGTGGTTGGTGGGGGTGGGGGGGTGCGGCGTCGTCAGGAAGGCACCGTTCATAGGTCTGCAGTTTCTTTCGGGTTAGCGACATGTCCTAATGTCGATGGTGCTGACAGATGCTCACGTCTGTGAACATATTGGATATTGATACGGGTGAATGGCACGGTGTTGGAGTTAGATCTCAGTGAAGCCGTTTCAGAAATCATGGAACCAGGTACAGGATTAAAGCACGAGAAATCATTAGTAAGCCATAAAAATGATGCGTCGCTATTGTTTGGATAAGGGAGATTTGGACGGCGGGTCAGGGTGTTTGGATCCGCTGTGCTTGCTTGTGTGGTGTGAGTGTTGCGTGCCCTTCCCCGTTGCCTCAGTGAATGGCGGCCCGCGTCTCAGCGGTGACCGAACCTGCGCGGGGACTGTGCAGCCTCCGGGGTCAGGCGTCGGACCTGTGGGCGGGCGGCATGTTGTATTCCTGGGCGAGCCTTGGGCGCCGGCTTCGCCAGTTCGGGCAGCTCACTGGACACGCTTCTTTGTTGCAGATTGAAGAAGGAAGTAAAGCGGCAGCGGTGGACAAGCTGCTGGCCGGAGACGAGATCGTGGGCATCAATGACATCGGACTCTCAGGGTTTCGACAGGAAGCCATTTGCCTGGTGAAGGGGTCCCACAAGACCCTGAAGCTGGTGGTAAAAAGGTAAGACCTGGACCTCGTGCCGCGTTTACCCAGACACGGGACGGCGGTGGCCAGCCTGACTTGGACTTCAATTGTGTGCGTGGGCGGTTGCGCGCGCACATGCGTCTGCACGCGTGCATGCACATGAGGTCATTCTCTCTCAGCCAAGGATGAATTAAGCATTAAATATTTTAAAAGATTCCTTTTGTGGCGACTGATGGTTCATTTGATTTCTTAAATGAATCTGCCTCGCTGTGTCTTTGTTTAGCGATGTGTGGATTATTTTCTTGGCACAGACAGACAGAAAAGCTGGGCTTTTGTTCCCGATGAAGTGACATGCGGTTGCCTGTGGCCCCCGCAAGGTGGCAGGGAACTGGGGTTCGGGGCTTGTGCTGACAGGAGCGCTGCTGCAGGTAGACGGGAAGGTGCTCCCGGGCGTCCCCAGAGCCGCGCCGCGGTCTGAGGGGGAGCGAGCGGCCGGCTCTGAGAAATTAGGTCGTTGGGAGACGTTGGGATGATTTGGAGGTTCGCAAGGGAAATGAAGGCCTTGATGCTTCTATGCACAGGAGCTGCGCCAGTGTTCCTGAACTCCACAGAGGTACTTGCGACTTGCTTTCATGGAGAAACACGTCTTCACCGTGCACTTTGTAGTTGGCTACTTCCCAGGAAAACATAGCTTTTCTTTTCTTTTTTTCTTTTTTTTTTTTTAGCAGAATTACTGCAGTCTTTCGAAAGTTGACTGTGAATTAAAAAAAAATAAATTGACCCAAGCACTTCCTTTAAAATAGATAGATATATATCTCTATATAGATATAGATATAATTTTTTTGTAATGCAGACCAGAGGACAAATTCCCAAAGGACATTTTTTTGGGGGGGAGGGGGCGACCAAAACAGCATTTAAGGAGCTGGTTCATACACAAAAAAGGGAAAACTTTCATTCTTGGCCAAATTACTTTACCAAACTCATTTCTAAGGGGTATAGGCTCTCTTATTTCCTCCTTGTAAATCAGAAAGATAAAGTCGCAGAATGGCCTTTGGGGAGTGCTTCGGGGAGGATGGCGCATTAGAGGTGTGGCTGTAGCGTGTAATTACCCCTTTGTGGTCACCTCATTAAGCCTCCTCACGCAGGACAGGTGTCCCAGTGTGGCGAGGTAGCCGTGGCGTTCAGGTAGGGTGACGGCGATGAGGAGGTAAGTAAGGGAGGATGGGCCTCAGAGGTAAGAGGAGTTACAAACCATCTCTGGGGAGCGTTCTCCAACCCCCAGTCTGATTGAGGGCCCCTCTTCTTCTCTCTCCCCTCTTGTCTCTGTGGTCGCGCTGCCAGAGCCCCCCAAACACGGAGCCTGTGGGGACAAAGTTGTCTCTTCGGCAGGGAAGGTGGCAGCTTAGTTGTTGCCGTAGGCCAACATGGGGTTGCTTACAATAGAGCTTGGTGCACAAGAGCGAATACAGCACTTGGGTTTTTTGAATCAGATCAACTTGCACGGCACCCGGACGCACCTCACAGGGGATCTGATTGGGATCCTGACACCCAGGCGTTTGTTCAGGACCCCCTGTCCGTGAGACACTGCCCAGCCCCGGTCGGCCACGGCCAATAACACAGACGGAGCCGTTGACACCTGGGGGACAGAATCAGGACACAAGAATCTCCCCACCGCTGCAGCTAATAAGGTCAAGCAAAATGTTGGGCGATGGCAGGTCTTATTCTAGGGTCCAAAGAGCAGGTGTATAACAACAACAAAGTTGGCGTGGTAGTCGTAGACGTAAAGAACAGAATTGGAGCCACAGATTGGCAGTTCCTAACGTGAGAAGTGTAAGTAGGAAGCAAGCATGTGAAAAGAGGTTTAGGAATCGACATTTAAAAAGGAGGTTTTGATTCGCAAGTGATCTCATAGAGCAGCAGCGCCTCCTGCTGGCGAGATTGTGGGACAACAAGGATTTATTTGATAGGATGCAGAGGAGGCTGCATAGTAGACAGCCTTTCCCGTGAGCAGTTTGGCAGTGCGGTTCCAAGGCAGAGAGGAGACGCAGAATCTTGTTTCTGGGATTGTAGACATTCAGCAGAGGGAGGTTACGGGGAGGAATTAGAGACATCCGCACGTAGAAATGCTGCCAGCGGTTGCTTGTGAAGTCCAATGGAGTGGAACCTATACATGCATTGATAGCTCTGGCCCCTTTTTAAAAAAGGGTTAATTTTTAATTGTGGTAAAATACACATAACAAGTTTCCCATGTTTACCCTTGTTAAAAGTTTACTGTTTAGGAGTGTGTGTGTTTTGCTATAGCATAAAATATCAAGCTTCCTGCATTTTTGTTTTAAAATCCCTAGTATTTATTTATTTACTTATTTATTTTAAACTGACTTTTAGAGACAGAGGAAGGGGGAGAAAGAGAGAGAAAGAGAAGGTGGGGGAGAGAGCGAGAAACATCGATGGGTTGCTTCCTGTATGCACCCTGAGCAGGGATCGAACCTGCAACCTTTGGGTGTACGGGATGATGCTCCAAGGGACTGAGCTGCGCAGCCAGGGCTCCTTGCATTTTTGAGGGGGAGAAGCGTTTGGGGCTCGGGGCGCCTGTGCCCATAGGAGTCACCAGGAGGCCTGGTCCCAGAAGCCGTCAGTGTGGCATCACATTCTGTGTTGAGCAGCCCCCACCGGAGGCTTCTTTATTGCACTGTGATCAAGAAAAAGAGCGACTCTTCGGAGTGGATGTTGGAATGCCTGCTACAATTGATTCTAAGAGTAACTTCGTTTATTTTTATTCTTTTAAAGGCTATATGTATTTTTAAAGAGAAGGGAAGGGAGGGAGAAAGAGACGGAAAGAAACGTGTGTGTGTGTGAGAGAGAGAGAGAGAGAGAGAGAGAGAGAGAGAGACATCTCGCAAGCCCCCTCCTGGGGACCTGGCCCACAGCCCAGGCCTGTGCCCTGACTGGGAATCAAACCGGTAACCTCTCAGTTTGTAGGCGGGCACTCAGTCCGCTGAGCCACACCAGCCAGGGCAACCTCCTGTTTTCTGTGATGTTTGGTTCTCTTTGTGAATGTGACAGGTGAAAAAAACTCGTTTTATGGCTTCAATGGGCACTTCTGTCATTGGGTATAAAGTTGAGCAGCATTCCCTATGTTTAGAAGCGTGGTTTTGAACTAGAGGAAGACACTGAAGCGTGTAAATGTAGACCATCTGGGTTCAGTGCCGAGCACAAAATCAGGGGGTGGGAGGCAGGGGAGGAGGCTGTGGGGCTGCCAGCCGACCGAGCTGCGACGCCCTTGGACTTGAGGGCTCAGGCGTTGCCCTGAAGGGCTGCCAGCGCTTGGTGTAGACTCCCCTTTGCGTCCCGCATCCTCCGGCTCCTTTGAAGGCAGCCTGCAGAGAAATGAGTCTGTGGTTTAGATCTTGTTAGTATTTTGAGTGATATCTATAACAAGACATAAAAGCCAACTGAGCAGTTTGTTCTCTTGTTTTCCCAAACACCTGTTCCAGAACCCACTGAGGTGTTTAAAATTTTTAAAAATAATTTTGCGTTATTTTTTTATAATCTATGGAGGTGTCATTTTTGCCGAGTAGGGGAAAAGTCTGAAACGGCGCTTTGCTTGGAAATGGGAATGAAATTATCCACACTGGTTAATTAGGTTCATGAGTTAGTATCAGGACCTGTCGCTGGCAGGCAGCAAAGCTGGGATCCTCCAGATGTGCATTCTCATGATGCTGAAACTCCAAACCAACTTTTATCATTTTCCTTACTACAGATGCACCCCGAGTGCTTTCAAAGTGGTTTCTCTGACCTTGGGGACTCGCCTCCTGCTGTGTCTCATTTAAATCTCCCCTTAAATCTGCCTGCACTTCTGTTCCACCCCCAGGCAACTGCTCATCTGACTGTGTCTCATAGGTTAGTTAGCGTTTTCTTTTTGTTGATTCATTGACTTTGGAAAGAGGGAGGGGTGGGCGGAGAGAGAGAGAGATTTGTTGTTCTACTGACTTATGCAGTCATTGCTTAATTCTTGTATGTGCCCTGTTCACGGATCGAACCCGCAACCTTAGCATATTGGACGATGCTCTCTAACCAACTCAACTACCCGGCCAGGGCCTAGGTTATAAGCATTTTCTAGCATTTTACATAAAACTCCCAAATGGCTTGTGTGCTCTTTGAAAAATCGGCACCTTTATAAAAAAGCACTGTGTAAATAATTCATCGAGCAAGCCACCAACACAGATGTATCATATGTACCCTTACCCAAAACTGTGGCCCAGTCATAAATGAGCCGTGTTGAATCCGATTCAAACACCTGCCTACTCGAGGCTCCCAAAGACAGCGTGGCCTTCTGATAACACGGAAGTAGGGTGAGAGTTCTGAGCGTGAGGGTGGCCAGGGCACGTGTGCCTGTTCTGGGAAGAGCTGTGTGCACCTCCGTATAAAATACGCCCTCGGTCCCTTTAAACAGAATGGGAGTCGGGGTCCACGCCCTGCCCCCCGGCCCGGGACAGCCGCCTGTCTCTGTCTCCCGCTCCGCAGGCTGGTTGGTATTCCCCGGGCGTGGGGAGCAGGGGCCGAGCAGGCGGGATAGGATCGCGCTTGCTGGTGTCCGGGAGCCTCCGAGGAGCCTGGGCATCTGGTTTCAGGAGGGCTGGGCAGTGCCTACCTTGTCGTCATTTGGGAGCCAGGCTGGGGGAGTGATGCGTTAGGAGACACAGGATCGCCGCCCCCCACGACGCCCCCCCAGCAAAGCGTCTTTCCCAGAGAAAGGAGCGAGCACTTCATTCCCCGGTGCCTTGTCAGCTGGTAACAAAGCTTTGTACCAGGAACCCCACCCAGTGCACAGAGGTTTCCTGCCGGGGTGCTTAGGCCGTGTCTGAGGCTGTGAGGCGGCTGGGGGTCGGGGAGAGGGATGGCCACCCTAGCGGCGGATCACCGGTCTGCCCAGCAGGAGGGGCTGAGCAGGACGCCCTTGCCTTGCCCTGCCTCGCCTCCCTGGCGCTTTGCTGCTCCATCTCTGCCTGGCCAGGGGGGTGCCCTGGCAGGAAAGT